CCTAAACTTTCACTCCAGCCCTAAGCAGGGCTCTTTGATTCTGGGCTTGAAGAATTATGAGGAGCTTGGATTACCGGCGGGGGCAAGGAGGTCAGGAACTTGGGTGCTAAGGTTTCCTAGTAGAATTCTAGGCTGACCCTCAAATTACTGGACTTCATGGTGGGACAGTTTCTTTAAAATTCTTTTATTCCTCTACTAGAGGTAGGATTAAAATGAGCTGGGTATGACTATAATCCTAGCTCCTTGGGAAGCTGAGGTGGGAGGACTGCAAGTTTGAGGCCAGCCTGGGCTATTTAGTGACCTTGTCTCAAAATAAAAAAGGGCTAGGTGTTAGCTCAGTGGTAAGTACAAGGCCCTGGGTTCAATTCCCAGAATTACATTAAAAAAATAATAAAGAAAGAAAAGACAAATGACAGGAGCCGGGCGTGGTGGCTCACGCCTATAATCCCAGCACTCGGGAGGCTGAGGCAGGAGGATCATTGCGAGTTCGGGAGACCAGCCTGGGCTACAAAGTGAGCTCAAGGCCAGCCTGCTGAACTGCATAGCGAGACCCTGTCTCAAAAAACAAGACCAAAAAAAAAAAAAAGACAAATCACAGGATTTACGGCCCTCAGATGAAGAGACAGGTGTCTAAGGCCTTGGGAAGGAGGGCTGAAGAGCAGGGTGGGAGAAGGCTGAGAAGTGGGATCAGTGCCGATGACAGGCACCACACCATTTCCCCTGCCCAATATGGCTACCGTTTCTGTTGAGATACAGAGCTCCTCTCTAGGGAGCGGCAAGAAGTGAGGAAGTCAGTACCTTGGGCCAGTGGGGAGGTTGGGGACAGACGTCCTGGAGGGCAGGAGGCTGTGGCTGCCTCAGTTGGACTCTGGACAGCAGATAGATGGGTAATGCAGCTGGGGGACAATTGGTGGGTCAGCAAGTCAAAGAACTAGGGGATGGGGATGAGGTCTCCTGAGTAGCCATGATATGTATCGGAGTGCTCCCTGAGTATGTCCTGAGCACTTTACCTGAGTGGGGCCCATAGGGTGGAGCCCTGGAGGAAGGGAAGAGGGAGTCAAAGAGGAAGTGGGGGGAGGGAGGTAGAGGAGGCAAGTATGGCGCCATGCTGAGTCACCACCCACAAGGCCAAGGGCGGGCCTTCAGGGGGCCATAGGCAGGGTGGTGGGGTCTCAGGAAGCCACACAGGGAGGGCTGGTGAGGCTCTCCAAGTTGGAGTTCAGAGGAAGAGCAGTGGCCAGAAGAGCACACGACGGACAGACAGACAGTGCAGTCACCCATAAAGTAGAAAGCACTACTAACAGCACTGGAGGGTGTAGTGTTTCCTACTTTATGGATGAGTGTACTGTGGGCTTCGGAGACCACGCCACGCTGCGGCCACCAGCCACCGTCTTCCTGTGCCTCAGAACCATGTGAGACAGGTGAGCACCTCTTGCACCTCTCCACCCTGCTTGGACCCCTAAAAGGCCTTCCTTGCCCCCCGCAGGGCTCTCCTTCCTGGTCCTTCACAAGTGCAGCTCTGCCGAAGTCCTGAGCAGGTGGGAGAGGGCCGGACATGTGGGCCTGCTGCGGCAGCCACAGGCAGCTGTGGGACAGGTGGGAAGGGCAGGTGGGGTGGGGCCAGGGACCCCAACACTAATAAAGAATGGATTCTGCTTTTCTTTTGTCTGAGACTCTCTTCCTGGGTTGGGAGTACTGAGTGGGAGTGTGTGGTGTGGACACAGTGCTGGGCGGGAACTCTCACACTTGCCCAAAAGAAAAAAAGGTTTGGTTTGTTTGCCCACAAGAGCTGAAAAGGCTCTGGGCCTGGTCAGGTTGCAGCCAGCGGGGAGAAGTTCCTGCAATCTAAAGAAAGGGACAGAAATATGAGGGGCCCCCATCTTTGAGCCCAGCTCCGGTCCTGCTCTGGTTTCCACTCATTCTCTATACCTCCAAACTGAAGGCTGCTTACTTGTTTTTTTATTTTTTAGTGCTGCCGGGGATTAAACCAGGGCCTTTGCACTGAGCTACTTTATTTATTTATTTTTGAGACAAGGTCTTATTGTGTAGTTCAGGGTGGCCTTGAACTCACTGTGTAGCCCAGGCTGGCCTCAAACTCAGGCTCCTGAGTGCTGGGATTACAGGCATGCACCAGCATGGTCAATACCTATTTATTTATTTAGACAAAGTCTTGCTAAATTGCTCAGTGTGGGTTTTAACTTGTGATTCTCCTGCCTCAGCCTCCCAAGTGCTGGAATTATAGGCATACACCATGGTGCCTGCCTCTGGCTTTAATCTATGTCTGGGGAAGTGGGTCATTTTTTTTCTTATTTTTTTGAGTCAGGATCTCTCTTGATAGCCCAGGGTGGCCTCAGAAATCACGATCCTCCTTAAGCCTCAGGAGTGCTGGGATTATAGGTTATGGAGACCTATACTTGGAGAGAGGGGCTTTGGTAGTATAAGACTTAGACAAAAACATTATGATATACTATGTGCATAGATACTACGTACATGAATAAGGGCATAGGTACTAATATACAAAGCACACAAGCACCAGCATGTATGTGCATTTACATGTAGGCTGTGTACGTGTATGCTAGCAACATAGACATGCAATGACATAGAGATGTGGGTCATGGCTGGTATTTCCCACAATGACACGTGGCTATGTATAATAATACAAGCATGATAGGTCACTAACTCCTCAAAGACATAGTGACATTCACAATAAACATGATGGCTCCACATACACATAGTAACATTTTCATACATGATGATAAATACAAAATAGATATACGGAGCTGGTTGTGGTGGTGTATGCCTCTAATCCCAGCCCTCAGGAGGCTGAGGTAGGACTGTCCAGTGTTGAAGGCCATCCTGCACTCCATAGTGAATTCAAAGCCAGGCTAGACTACATAGTGAAACAGTGTCTCATAAAGCCAAACTAATAAAATAATATTTGATTCATTAACACACTCCCCCATATCTGTGGGTTCTGCATTCATAGATTCAACTACCCTTGGATCAAAAATATTTGAAAAAATTGTGCTTGTACTTCAGTCTACAAGCTTTTATTCCCCCCTATCATTACTCTCTAAATACAACTATCTGCTTTGCATTTGCATTATTTTAAATTTTGTTTTGTTTGGTTTTTTGAGATAGGTTCTCAATATGTAGTTCAAGCTGCCCTTAAACTCACTATGTAGCATAGATTGGCCTTGAATTCACAGAGATCCTCCTGTTTCAGCCTCCCAAGTGCTGGGATTATAGGCATGTGTCACCATGACTGACTACATTATATTAAATATTACAACTAATCTAGAGATGACTTTAAAAGTATACAGGAGAGCCTGAGGGTGTAGCACAGTGGTAGAACACTTGCCTAATGCACAAGGTCATGGGATAGGCCCCAGCGCCACACATACAAAAATAGTATACGGTAGTATTTATGTGGATTAGATGCAAGTATACCCCACCCCCAATTTTTTGAGACAGGTTCTTTCTTTGTAGCTCAGGCTGGCCTGGAAGGTCCTGAAAGTACTAGGATTACAGGTGAGAGCAGCCACACCTAGATGTATATCATTTTACATAAGGAAGTTGAATGTTAGTGACTTTTGGCCTCCTAGGACAGAGAGGTCCTGAAACCAGTTCCCCTTGGGTACTGAGGAATGAATATATATATATATATATATATATATATATATATATATATCCACATCTATATCCACATCATAATATGTACAAGTCATGTTATGTCATTACACATATTTATGTGACCATGGGTATGTATTGCTAATGCCATGTGATGGTATTGATATCCCTGTATCATGGCAGAAGTGTCATTTATAAACTCCATAAAAGCATGCATATTATATACAGACACTGGTAAGTAGACATGCAGTGGCACACAAATGTGTAGCCATGTGCACCCGATGAGATTCCTTAGACACAACAATATACATGTATGTAATGTCCCCCACATACACAGAAACGTATGTCAATTCTATTTGTGCAGTGTATACACTTGTATTTGCATAATGTCATGCATCTATACCTTGCCATAAACATCAACAACACACATCATGCAGTGGCATGCATACTGATGTACACATTGTAAGCGAAGTGAGCGTCACCTCCTCCCCGTGCACCCCCTCCCCTCCCTGCTTCCATCAGCTCTGGCCCAGGGTGGAGTCCACTGTTGGTGGCTCGGTGGTTTAGAATAGCTGCTGCTATTCCACAGGGGTGCCACATGAGGGCCCCTGACCTCAACTGAGACGGGCTGGCCGGCTGCGTCCCAGTTTGTAAGAGAGAGGGGCTGCCACTCTCGGACCTCTTGTGGTGATACCCTTCTCTCTGGGGCCTCTGCCCACCCTCTACTGCCATACATACAAATGGGTCACTGGGTATGGGGGGTGCCTATGTTTTTGTTCCAAAAAGCCATTTTTCTCATAGCAGAAGAGCTTAAGGCTACACAGAAGATGAACTTCCTGGTAATTCAGGACAAAGCCAGCCAGCCCATCAGGTCATGTAGTTTCCCCTGATGACTTGGGACAACCAACTTGCTCCCCAAGTGTGGTCTGTCAGGAGGTAGCTGAGCAATTTTCTTAGCTAATTTCTATCTCTGTCTCTTTGCTTCTGTCTTCCTGTTTTTGTACTCTTTCTTCTCTTTGCTTAATCTCAAATCTCATCTTTTCTAGTCCTGCCCTTCTCCGTGGCTGGATCTCTGTCATCCTTCCCTTGTCTACATCTCACCCTATGAGGAAGACAGTCTCCAGCCCCAGCCTCTGTACCCTGAAGGGTGCGAAGGCGTGTTGGGACAAGGGGCGGAGAGGCCACGTGTGTAGTAGGGTGGCGCTGATCTGGCATCCCGTGAGGAACCTGCTCTTCCCTCTGTCCTGGACCCTGCTAGCCGGTCCAGCCCACCAGTCCAGCGCCATCACCATGGAAACCAGCAGCCGACTTCCTATTGGTAGGCAGGAGAGGAGGAGGGAAAAAGGGAGGGCTGGCTCTCCCCTGCTCCCCCTCCCCATTCTGAGGTTCAGCCCTCCTCCGCACCCACCATCTCAGGGCTCTGGGGCTGTAAGGGACCCCTGCAGTCCCTGAGCTGAGGCCAGCAGCGTGAGAGACTATGAGGCAAGCAGCCCATCGGCCCAGGCCTCCTTAGGACCAGCTCAGCCAGCCAGCAAGCGAGTGAGCTGCAACGGAGAAAGAAGCGGGAGGTAAAGGACCACAGCAGACCACTGGAGCTTACCCCCAGCAGCGCCTGAGGACCCGAGCCAGGGTGAGGGGTCACCATGGATGGCCAGATCCGCAGCCACTGACAGACACATTGACATGGATGCGTGCAGCTGCCCAACGCCGACACACTCAGATACAACCAGTGACAGCATCACACACTGCCACAGCCCTGCAACACAGACACCTACGCACAGAAACAACTGGTAACTCTGAAACAGGCACAAACAGTGACACACGGCATCACTCTCCTCAACACAAGGGCAGCAACACCCTCCAAACACACAAGGCAGCATTGGCCTGAGGGAGCAGACCAGAGAAACACACGCACATCCTCATCCCAGCGCTGCTGGTGGTGGCCTCTGCACATCCTCCCCACCCCCACAGGGACACCCTTGCCTCTCCACATACTCAGACACACACATAACCACGAACATACATAGCTCACATACCCCTGGCTCCAGCTCTGGCAGTCCCCACGTCTTCCGCAGCCTCCTTTGTGGGTCGGGAAAAGCTCAGCCAACCTGGATGGAACCTCGGTGAAGCCAAGTGCCAGAGGAGAAAGAGTCTGGCCTGGAATGACCCTCTCCAGTGCCCCCACTTGGCTGGGTGATGTTCCCCAGCCTGAGTTCTGGGGCCTCTTGGTGCTGCCATGGAGCAATTGACAACCTTCCCACGGCCTGGGGATCCCAGCGTCATGGAACCCTGGGCACTGTCTGCCTGGCAGAGCTGGACTCTGGGCCAAGGGGGCGAACCTAGAGACATAGCTCCAAGCATTGCCGATACTCCGGCAGCTCTGCAGGTTAGAGAAGTGAGTTCCCAGCCCCAGGCGGGCACTGACCCTGAAGGAGCAGAGGCTGGGCTGCCCAGCTTGAGGCAGCAAGTGGGGAACTCTGGACGTGGCTGCCCAAGGCTAGAGGATGAGGAGGTGCAGGCTTTGCCTAAGGTAAGGGGGCTGGGAAAGGGTTGGAATCTTTGAGCTGGGCTTCTATGTCTCCCTGCCAACCAGGAGGCAAGACAAGAGGTGCAACCCCACTGGCCCTCTCCTCTCTTGTCTCTGTGAGTGGGTCTGTCTCTGTGACTATCTGTCCTCCCTTCACTGGATGCAAATCTCAGTGACTCCATTTTTTGCCATTTGTCCGTCCTTTCAACCTGTCCATCTACCCTGTCCTTGGGGGCTGGGGTGTCGGAGGTATGGAGGTATAAAGTAGAATCAGAGTTCAGAGGAGACAAATTAGGGAGAGATGGCTTGGTGCTGGCTGAGCCAGGGAGGACAGGTCTGGGTGGGCGTGAGCAGTCTCCTGTAGAAGAGAGGGGAATAAGATGTTGGGGGAGGGCAGGGGGGCATGAGGAGCTGGAGCCATCAGGATGGGAGTTTGAGCTGGCATTTTCCAGGAGGAGGAGGTGGGCAGGGTTAGGAAGGATCAGGGAATAGGACGGGAGGCACCAGGTAGGAGGTAGGAAGAAGTTGCCATTGGGAGGACCACACTGTGCCTTCTCCTGGGTCTGTGAGCCCCTCGCTGAGGGCCTGGGATGTAGGAGAGAAATTTTACATCTCCTTGGACTGTGGAGGGGAGATGCTTCCCTATGAGATTTGCACTGGGTGGGGTTGGTCCCTGAGACACTGTACCTGGTCCTTTCCCATGCCAGGCCACCCTAAATACCAGCTTTGGGGACCAGCACAATCTGGAGCTGCTGAGGGCCCTGGGGGAGCTGCAGCAGCGCTGTGCCATCCTCAAGGAGGAAAACCAGATGCTGGTGAGGCTCAGAGAGTTCGGGTGCTGTCAAATCCAGCCAGGACCCTCTGTCTCAGTGCCCTCCCTGCTCACCCTGTAGACGTTGCTCAAGAGAGTCACGTGGCTGTGACAAAATCCCACCACCCAGAGAGGGGGAAGCCTTACCTACAGTTGCCAGGGACCCCACTATAAGCCCAAGGATCTGCACAGTAGGATTGGGCATATGGGTGCTCCCCATATGCTCTAATTCTGGTGGACCCCTTGTCAGAGAAACAGCAGCTTTCCTGAGACGGAGGAGAAGGTGCGGCGGCTAAAGAGGAAGAATGCGGAGCTAGCCGTCATTGCCCAGCGCCTGGAGGAGAGGGCCCGGAAGCTGCAGGAAACCAATCTGAGGGTGGTGAGGACAGAGTCTGGGTGACTAGGGAAGAGGGGAGCCAAAGACTGAGTCTCAGAGACTGGGGCTTGGGAGTCATGGACTCTGAGTACTCTGGAGAGCAGGAATTCAGGAACCGAGGATAGGTAGGGTACACTGGCTTGGGGAGGAGGCAGAACGTTGCTGGAGCCCCAAAAGGGAGTGAAAGGCTGGGTGGGGAGGTTCCGACGTAGGCAGGGAGCAGAATTCTGGATCCCCACGTGCTGGTGCTGGCTGCAGCCTCCTGCTGAGCTCATCTCAGGGTGTAGAGCTGGAGTGGGGGCAGGGACAAGACCCAACGAACTGGCAGCCTGGAATTAACAGCATCTTTTGGGCCCAAAGTGAGATGTGGAGTTAACTCTTTCAGTCTTTCAAGGAGAAAGCCAGGAGGAGACCCAGTGAAGCTGCTTGTCCTCTGGAACCCCAGATTGGGTGGTAACTCCTCCTCTGGGAAGGGGTAAGAAGCTGTAAAGTGCCCCAGCCCCTCAGATGACCTTTGGCCTTACCCTTCCTCTGGCTAGGTGAGTGCCCCTGTGCCCCGCTCTGGGGCCAGCTTGGAGATGTGCCGGAAAGCCCTAGCCCGCCAGCGAGCCCGGGACCTCAGTGAGACCGCCAGTGCTCTGCTGGCCAAGGACAAGCAGATCGCTGCCTTGCAGCAGGAGTGCAGGGAGCTGCAGGCCAGGCTCACCCTAGTGGGCAAGGTGCGAGAAGGCCCTGGTCTCTCCTTCCAGCTCCACCCGTGCAGGGCAAGGACTGTCAGCCTGTCTAGTGGGATGTGGAGATGTTAATGAGATGCAAATGAAGGGGGAAGTGGAGGCTGCTGGGGAGTAGGTTTCCTTGGCAACGGCCCAGGTGGGAGAGGGGATAAAGAGGCTGAACTGATGGAGGTGGAGCCATGAGTCCCAGACCTGGGTATTTCTGTTCTGATTTGGGCGGTGCGCCACTGTGTCTGGAGGTATGAACCTATACAGATCTCACACTTGTATGTGAGACTGTTCGCAAGGCTTTTAGCACAGTGTGGGGCAGACTGTGAGCGCCCAATACAGGAGTTGCGGTGAACGTCTCCACACAGGGTCTGGGAGCGTGTGGCTGTGTAAGCACGCACATATGACCAGGCGTGTAGGCAGGGGAGGATGGATGCGCACCTTTCCCCGCATCCAAGCCTCTCGGTTAGTTGACAGGCCGGCCCTGGCGCGGATGGCTGGAGGAAAGGCAGGGCTTAGGTCTGATTCCCCTCCTGGTCACCCTACCCCAGGAGGGTCCCCAGTGGTTCTGCGTGAGGGACTTCGACCGGTTGCTGCGCGAGTCCCAGCGGGAAGTGCTGCGGCTACAGAGGCAGATTGCCCTGCGCAACCAACAGGAGCTGTCCCCGCCGCCCCGACTGCCCGGCCCTGCTCTCCCCTCCAGGGCAGGGGCACCGAAGCCGGTGGCCCCGGGAGAGGTGAGCTAGGCGCCAGGACAGGTGTGCGCGCGCCAACTAGGGATGGGGAATCCCCCTGCGCTGCAATCAGAAGGAACTCGGTGGTGGGCTGCAAGCTCCCAGGGCCTGGGGAGCCTTCCCCATCAGCTGCAGCCGACCTCTCCGGGTCTCGCATGCTTGCACCTGCACCAAGCCCCACTGAGATCCCCCGGCTCCGCTTCTGTGGGCTGCACCCCGCGGGGGCAGCCTGGCGCCCCCCGCCGTGCCGTCAGTGGTACAGCCCAGCCGCAAATCCCTGGTTGCCCTGGCAGCCGCCCGGGGCCCAGCCAGCGCCGCCTTGAACGTCGCGGCTATAGAGCGGGACGCCCATTCCTGCGCCCGCTAGCCCGCCAGGCCTGGCCCGGACCCCCGGGGATGCGGTGAGTCCCACCCGGCTCCAGGTACTGGTGATTTTCACTGAGCGCAGGGCGTAGGCAGCCCTTGTCTGGAGGATCAGAGACCCACTCCGGACCCCAAGGACCTAAGAAAGGTCTGACTCTTAGGTGGGGAGCATCTGGGTCCTCTGCTTTCTTCTGGGAAGAAAAGTGGGAGGAGAGTCCCCATAATAATAGTGACAAAAGCCTCTGGGTAGGGAACACTACCTGCTCAGGTTTTGGCCCTCTGGCTGTCCCATGGAGGGTGATGTCCCTCCCATCAAGACCCATTCCCCTAATAGTTTGCACAGATACACAGGATGTGCAATAGGGTGGGTTTGAGGACAACCAGGAGGCGAGCCTGGCCGGACTAGCCCTGCTCTAGGCCAGGATCAGATTTGGGTGGTCCAGAACCACTAGCTTTGAAAATGCCACATCCATGGCATCCCAAGCGGCCTCCTACTTCTCTGCCAGTTGCTGAAGGACACCCAGGACAGTTATTGAGTGCAGAGCAGGGCAGCTGCTGAGTGCTAAAAAAGGAAAGCTTTGGCCTGGATAAAGGACCCATCTCCCAGGGCACATGTGGGTCCTAGGATCTCAAAGCACTCATGACTGGGGAACACAGGGTGCAGCCTTTGGTCCTCCATGTCAGCTGGACGTGTTAGGAGGGGGTGGGCAGCTAGTATCTCTCCCTCCTCCCAGCACAGTGCACTCATTGCTGATCATGCCCTGAACTGGGGACCTCCTGAGGGCAGACTGGGTTGGGTATGCAGCCCATGGGCCCTGTTCTCAGGTGCCAGCTCCTTGCCCCTGTGCATTTCCAGGTCACGTCCCAGGAGGATGTGGACAGCCTACCTTTGGTGGTAGGGGACCCTGAGAAACAGCAGAGGGTACAGCAGCTGGTAAGTTCCAGGTCAAGGGCTGAGGTGACCTGCCAAGGGTGGATCTGTCTTCCCCCATGAGGAGCCTTGGATTTGACCCTATAGGAGTCTGAGCTCAGCAAGAAGCGGAAGAAATGTGAGAGCCTGGAGCAGGAAGCCCGGAAGAAGCAGAGGCGATGCGAAGAGCTGGTGAGCTTTTAGGCTGCACAGGGGTCCATTCCTACCTTCTGCTGAGCTCGCATCCCTGTTGCCCTCAGGAACATGTGTGTTCCACCCCGCTGCCCATTCCTGGCAGATGCAGGACAACAAAGCCTTCCCTGGGAGGGCAGGGTGTTCTGTGTGTGGAGAAGGAGGAAGGTGGGTGCTAGGCCCCTCTCCAGACCTCTGCTCTCCCCTTAGGAACTACAGCTGAAAGAAGCCCAGAATGAGAATGCCCGCCTGGTGGAAGAGAACTTTCAACTCAGTGGCAGAGCCGCCGAGAGGGAACAGGTATCATTGTACCCTAAGACTCTGAGGCTGTGTCTTGGGCAGAGGAATCGTGCTGGGGTGGAGAGTGAAGGGTGCTATCCCCTGGTGAGGGACAGGTCAAATGCCCAGCTCCCTGCTGATGCCCCCTGCTAGGTGGAATGGGAGAATGCGGAGCTGAGAGACCAGCTTTTGGGGGTGACACAGGAGAGGGACTCAGCTCTTCGCAAGAGCCAGGGCCTGCAGAGCAAGCTGGAGAGCCTGGAGCAGGTGCTGAAGGTGAGGGGCCTGGGTAGGCAGGGAGGGCATTGGGACTTGGCACAAGGGAAGGGGAACAGTAGAACGGGCCCTTTCTGCAGCCCAGTCCTGGGGCTGCCAACCCTTTGCTCTTTCCTGATTCGGTTTCTTTTTAAAGAAAACACCTGGAGCAGATCATCTTAGATGTTCTGTGGGGATGGCAGAGTGGGGGCTCTGGCCTTGACTCCAAGTCTTGTCTTTTAGCACATGCGGGAGGTGGCCCAGCGGCGGCAGCAGCTGGAGGTGGAACATGAACAGGCTCGGCTTAGCCTTCGGGAGAAGCAGGAGGAGGTCCGGAGGCTGCAGCAGGTGGGGCAGGAGTGGGAGGAGCTGGTAGCTTTGGGACCTCAGCTTGGTCATCCTCTCAGCCAGCCAGCATTTACTGAGCACCTACTATATACCAGACACTGCGCTAGGCACTGGGGAACCGAGGCCAGGTTCCTGACCTGTCATCAGATAAGCAGACTCATGAATGAGATAAGTAGACTCATGAAAGTGATGATAAACACACTGGGGAGATGAAGAGGGTGAGTGATGAAAAGTGGAGAGTGGCTTTAAAGATGTCATCAGGAAACCCCTCCCTGAGAAGGTGACAATTGAATTAATAGCTCAGGAGTGAGAGGAAGTCAGGGTAGCCAGGGGAGAGCAGACCAGACAGGCAGAATAGATGTGCTAATATCCTGTGGCAGAGAAGAGCTAGTGGGAGTAGCTAAGGCCAGGGTAGCTAGAAGATAGCAAGGAACAGAGCAGCAGGAGTTGGACCTTAAAAGTGTGGGAAGAGTTTGGGTGTTTTGGTCTGTGAGTGGTTAGAAAGTCTAAGCAGGGAGTGACATGATCAGACAGACTTGATAAGACTCAGAGCTGGGCACCGTGGCACAGAATGGTAATCCCAGCACTCAGGAGGCTGATGCGGGAGGATTTCTAGTTCAAGGCTCGACTGCCCTAAATATCAAATCCCTGTTCCAAGCAAACAACCCTAAAGCCAACCAAACCAAACCAAAGCCTTACTTGGAATTCCAGTTGAATCACTACTTGGTCACCCTCTTTCTCATGATTCCTATGGGAAAGGTGGGGCTTTCCACTCACCCCAGGAGGTGAAGGATGAGGGCCAGCAGCTTTGAGAGATGAGGAGCATGAGTTCCAGGGAGTCCTGCTTTGGCAAATTTGCGCTGTGAGCTACGACACTCAGACAGAGGTGTCTGAAGCCGGTTGGGTGCATGAGTCTGCAGTTAAGGGGAAGCTGGTCTTGCAGATATCTGGAGTGATCAGCGCATTCAACAGTGTGACTGGTGGGGCTTTGGGAGAGAGAAGACTATAAGGTGGCCCAACACTGTGCCTGACATCCAGGGGCGGGCAGACAGGTCAAGAAGGAGCAGCAGGAAGGCAGAGAGAAACCAGGAGGGAGGATGTGCCTTGATTCCTCTGCCCTGGTCTAAGAAAGGGTTCAGCGGTGGGGTGGGGTGGGGTGGGAGGGAGAAACCTCAGCCTCTCCCTCCAAGACCCCCTTTCCTTTTCTCCGGTCCCTTCTTTGTTCCCCACCTTCCTCCTCTTACACCTGCCTCTGCTTCCCCTATTCCTCGTCCTCCTCCTCCTCCAGCATCTTGCCTCTCTCCTTCTTTAGGCCCAGGCAGAAGCCAAGAGGGAGCATGAAGGAGCCGTGCAGCTGCTGGAGGTAGAGTCCCTGGAGGTGGCAGAGTACACCAGAGACTGTGTGTGCGCGGGGTTGTAGGCTGGGGCTGTAACAGGGCCCCTAAACACTGCAGGGCCTGGGAGGGGGGGCCCCTCCATGCTTGACCTATTTCTCCCAGTCTGGGAGTGGTCATCTCCCACTGTCAGCGCCTGAGGCTGCCTTCACCCTGAAATATCCTTCCAGTTAGGAAGTGCTCTCTCTCTCCCTCTCTGGGTCAGTGACCTACAGGGCTCAGGGTTCTAACCTCTCCTCTGCGCTTCCTTCCCTGCTGCAGTCTACCCTGGATTCGATGCAGGTACCACCTCTTTACCTGTATGCCTCCCTGGGGGGTCCCCTCCTTCCTCCCCCACATCCCTTCCCAAGGGCCCCAGTGCTTGTGTCCAACAAAGGGGCTGTTCCTGGTGGCAGACCTGAGAATCTGTAAGTGGATGGGGTTCCTACGAGGACACATGGACTGTACCCTCATCTCAGACCTGCTGCTGTGCCTGGCAGACACCCGGGCTTCCTCCTGTGGCCTCTCAGGCCGTGACAAATTGTGTCACAGCTGCCCATGCTCCTGGTGACATTGGCCAGGGAAGAGACCCTGACCTGGGGACTCTCCTGATAACCGAGTGAAGGTCCTGAAAACCGGCTGTTCCCCATCATGAACATGTCCCCAGCATCCTGTGAAGTCTCTGCCTGCCTCTGGGACAGGGATTTGGGTCACAGCCTGGGAGGATGACCAGAGATGGAACTGAGCACACTCCTGAGATGACAGTGGTAGTGGTGATGGGGTGGGGATGAACTTCTTTGGCCTAGAGACCATCCAGAAGCAGGAGTGCCACTGTCCAGGATGTGAGGGCTGGGGAATGTGTCGCAGGCCCAGGCCTTGGCTTTGGTGCCCAGGCTGGGTGCTGGGTGGATGTGATCTGAGGTTCAGCATGGGGCTGTGTGGAGAGAGCATGGCCTGGGGGCTCATGGTGGTCTTGGCCCAGGCCCGGGTCCGAGAGCTGGAGGAGCAGTGCCGCAGCCAAACCGAGCGCTTCAGCCTCCTGGCTCAGGAGCTCCAGGCTTTCCGTCTACACCCAGGTCCCTTGGACCTGCTCACTTCTGTGCTGGGCTGCAGTGCCCTTGGGGACCACCCTCCACCTCCCTGCTGCTCCACCCCTCAGCCCTGCCGGGGCTCTGGCCCCAAAGGTAAGGTGGACCCAATGACATTGGCCTGGAACCTCCAGGTCTGGGGCTTTTGTATGGAGCAGAGTTCAGGATCAGAAAAGTCCAGCCACTCATTTAAAGCCATAGAGGAAGGGCAAGCTGTATCTGCCAGGAGCCAGGCTCTGATGGGGCAAAGGAATGCCCCTAGGAGTGAGTGTCCTGGACACTGACCCAGCCACCTCAGGCCAGTGTCCCTCTCCCTGTAACTCACCCTCTGTGGTCATACTGAGAGTTGGGCACTAGGAGCCAGTAGCAGGCTATGTGACCTTGGAAAGAGTCAAGGCTTGGGGATCAGTCAGACCTGGTGGTCCCAGCTCCACTCAGTAAGAATGTGATATTAAGCATGTTACTTAACCTCTCTGGGCTGTAGTTTCCTAAGCTTTGATGACCATGTGAAATAATATATGTAAATCACCCACATTTCTGCTTAGTAAGTCCCCCCCACCAAGTATTTCCCTTCTTATAAGGAAATCTGGGTATGGAGGGCCTGATCCCCATATCTAGGAGGCCCCCATATCTCCCTGGACCCTCCTCAGGCTACACGTTCCAAGCCCAGGTATCATCTTTTCTTTAGACCTTGACCTTCTGCCGGGTTCCCCGGGGCACGGCACCCCAAAGTCTTCCGAGCCTGCTCCTGCCGCCCTTACTGGGGCTCCTCGAAGGACAGCCAAGAAGGCAGAGTCTCTCTCTAACTCCTCACGCTCTGAGTCCATCCACAACAGCCCCAAATCATGCCCTACGCCAGAGGTCAGTGCTGGGAGGGGCTGAGGTCTGGCGTTGGCTTGGGAAAGGTGGGAAGAGGTTAGCTCTTGGCTCTCCAGGGAGCTCCCAGGAGTGAGAGCCATTGGTTCCAAATTGGGAGGTGATCACCCTGTGGATGCCTCCCTGGGTGGTGAGTGTGGGTGGAACTTGTCACTGCTCTCCAGGGCTCCTGCCAGCTCCACTGAGGCCCTGAGGGCCCTAAGCTCTAGCCCTGGCCCTCAGCTCCAGTGAGGCCCTAAGGTTTCTGGGCTGGATGGAAACCCTGGATGCCAGAATCTGACTAGTGAGTTGTTCATAAAAGCATTTCTAGAGAAGCAGCGGTTGTGAAAAAGAGCACAGGTTCTGGGATTCAAATCCCAGCTTTGTCTCTGGTAGCACACCCTTTCTGGGTCCTGGTATACCTATCTGAATACTGGTGGTAATAAAACCTTCCTCCTGAGGTAGTTGCAAAGGTTACCTGAACTAAGATATAAGGCAAGTGCCTCTCCCTGTGGGACACCCACGAAGTAATTAACATGTGGCAGCTGTTAGGTCACTAAGTTCCTGGGCATCACCCACAGCTCATGGAATCACCTTCTCTTTGTACCCACAAATCCCAAAAAGTGTAAGGGGACAGGTCAGAGCAGTTTTAGAATGGGTAGATCCCAGCCCTGGGCCTCTGCTGCCTCCTGGTGGGCTACAATGGTGGTGCTGGTGATGGAGGTGGTGGACCAGCTGCTTGCCTTGCCCTTTAGTTTCCTTCTAGTGGACAGCAAGTTCAGGGTTGCAATGCTGGACCACAAAACGTTGCCACCATAAGAGGCAGAGAGTTCTTCACCCCTTCTGCTTCCTTGCTTCCAACTCTTTTTTTTTTTTTTTGGTATGGGCTATTGAACTCGCAACCTTGTGCTTGCCAGGCGCTTACGCCACTGAGCCCCCCAACTCTTTACAGTCAAGATGCTTTGCTGAAGCTGGGAGTGGTGATATGAGCCTGAAGCAGGAGGATTACAAGTTTGAGCCCAACCTGGGCAACTTAGTCACCTAGTGAAACCCTGTCTGAAAAAAAAGAAAGAGCCATTGATGTAGCTCAGTACCAAGGCCCTGGGGTCTACTCCCCACACCAGCTTGGCCTCACTCCTTTTGATCTTATTTACTGGGCTGCTGGAGTAGAGGCCAGAACTTAGGGATGGGTCCAGGTTGTACCTACTACCTCTGCCTAAGCAGCTGAGTGCTTCCTGGACCTGCTGGCTCAGGTGCTGCTTAGAACCCTCAGGGGCTTGCCTTGGTGGTGCTGGCCTTGCCAGCGTGGGTGGCTGCATCTGTGCTCACTCCCTTATTCAGAACAGTGACTCTTCTCTGGCTCAGCCTGCAAATCTGCCTGCTGTGCCATTGACCCAGGCCCTGGAGAAGACCTGACCCTTTCTGTCTCCCCCCAGGTGGACACAGCCAGTGAGGTGGAGGAGCTGGAGGTAGACAGCATCTCCCTGCTCCCAGCAGCAACAGAGAGCAACCCAGGAGCATCCAGGATCCAGGTCTTCCTCACACGCTATAGGTGGGCCCTTCACTCCTGCTTCTCCATGCTTAGATTTGGAGTGTGTGGGAGGGTGGGGCTGGGTGAAGATGGAGACCTCGCCAGGACTCCAGGTTGACTTGCTCTCAATAACCTAGTTGAGGCAGAGTGACTGTTCTACTTGGCAAAGGTGGAAACCTGATCTCCACAAAGGCTTCGCAGGGTGAAAGAAGACTGACATAGAAATGCAATGTAGGTTGCCGTCCTGCTTCTCTTCTGTGTTCCCCCGATAGCTACAACCCCTTTGAGGGCCCCAATGAGAATCCAGAGGCAGAGCTTCCGCTAACAGCTGGTGAATACATCTATATCTATGGCAATATGGACGAGGATGGCTTTTTTGAAGGTAAGCCAGTAGCAGGGATCATTCTGTCTCATCTTTATGCTGTCATTCCCAAAGTCCTCCATCCATCCATTCCCGTTCCCAGCACCCTGAGCCCACCATAACTTTTCAGACTCAATTAATTGCATTCAGCGACCTGGCAGCCAGTGGGGAAAGAGGGCAAAAGAGCTCTGGCTTCAAGCATGATGGGTCAGCACTTACCACAGTCATGAGGGATTTTGGTTCCATTCATTTTGGTACTGGTAAACAGCATGGTGTTGTTTAACATGTGTGACACTTGAGGTCAGGCTGGTAGTGTAGATTTGATGCTAGACTTCCAGCATGTGTAAAGAGGAGGGACCCAGGTCCAGATCCCAGGAGAAGGTGTCAGCAAGGGCTTGGTAGGTGACAGGGCAGGAGCCTCAGGAAAGTTCCCCAGTTCTGGGGCCAGGGGGTGCCAGAGGACTCATCAGTGTATCTCTATTGAGATTGGGCCTCATAACTGGGCCCATAGCAGATATGGCCATGGGATCCTCCTTCAGGGTGGTCTTGACTCAGATACCAGGCTATATCTTTAGGAGTCGGGGCAGGGCGGGTGTGTGTGTGACAGAAACTGGAATAAGATAAGGGCTGGGCAAGACGGACCCACTGTATTTGGAGGTTTAGGAAAGGGTTAGCTCTGAGTGCGGAACACTGAAAGCTTTGACTCCTGCTCTTCTCTTTTCCCTGGGCCCTCTGCCCATTATTTTGTGGTCCAAACAGCTAAACTCCCCAAGGGGTAGATTTTGAAGAGCAGGATTAAATTGCTCCTGGGATAATAGACTTTTTTTTTTTGGTACTGGAAATGGAACTCAGGACCTTGTGCTTGCCAGGCAAATGCTACTCCACTGAGCTACATCCCCAGCCTGAGACTTTTTCCTTTTAAATGAAAACAAACAACATCATTTTTCAGAGGAGGCCAGCAAAAGCATAAGGATTAACTCACCCCAAATTATTCGAATTTGAAATAGGCAATTTCAGGATATGGGGATAGATTTAAAGGCATGTAGATAACTGACTTCAGAATGCCCTATTCCTTGTCCAACTTTATTAAGACACTACTTCTCCATATCTGGCTCTAGCTGTGCTTCTGTTTTTGGTGCTATGAGCTTAGTGGGCTTGACTAAGTGGTCTTGGCTGGCCCAGGCTTCAGCTCTGGCTTGTAGGATGCAGATTGGTGTAGGCTCTGATTATAATTCAGCACTCCAAGTACTGGTGTTAATATTAATTGCCCAATCCTGCCGTACAAATTACTACCAACTGGGTGACTTCAGACAGCAGGTCTTTATGGAATCATTGGCTTTTTTTTAGGAGGCTGAAGTTGGAAATAGGTGTTGATAGGGCTACACTCCCTGTGGAAGCTCTAGCAGAGATCTCATTCTGTCTCTTTCAGCTGTGGGGGGCTCTAAATGTCAGTGGGTTGTGGGCACACTATTCCAGGTTTTGCATCAGCAGACATGTTGCCTCCTTCTCTCTGAGTGTCCATTTCCTGTGTGTCTTTTTTTTTTTTTTTTTTTTTTGGTATTGGGGATCAAACTCACAACTGTGTGCTTGCAAGGCAGGCCCTTATGCCTCCAAGCTAAATCCCCAGCCACTGTGTGTCTTCATTTTATAAGAACATTTGTCATTAAATTTAGTACTCACCCTGGTAATCTAGGATGATCTCATTTCAAGATCTTTAATATAATTACATTTCTAAAGATGCTTTTTCCAAATGAGGTCACTTTCATAGGTTCCAGGCATTAGGATATGGGCATATTTTTGGGTGGCCACATTTAACCCACTATAATCGTAATATACTATTAAACTTAGTGAGGCTGCCTGTTGTTTCTTTAAGTTCTCACACTGTATTTCTTTCCTACATAAGCAGAGGGAGAGAATGGGGGCTACGAATCACTATTGGGTAAACTTGCATGGACCCTGCACCTCAGTTCTGCTGACCCCGCCACTCTGCTCTGGGGTCTGGCTTGTGCTTTCTTTTCTCCTTTAAATTGTTCGCTCCCTGAGTTTTTTTCCTCCTTAAATTGGCCACAGCATGACTTGTGTGTGCCTGGCTTCCTTCTCCCCTGATTTCCCTCAAAGAAACAACAAATGTTTTTTAAGAAAAACTCTTGTCAAGTCTTTAGAACTGAGACGAGCTCACCACTCGCTGCTCCTGGACTGGCTGCCAGCTGTGTTCTGAGGTGTCTTCCGGAACCCAAAGCGACTTTTTTTTGGCACTTCCTTCCGTTGTCCTTGCTCTGATGAGGTGGTCGCATCCCTCTTCCTTTGTGGATGCCTGTTTTTCACAGAGGGAAGGTGAGGGGCACTGCAGGGTACCTCTCAGGCCCCTGTAAAGCCCACAGGAGCTTTCCAGTCAGTACCATCCATTTCCTTTTCTCTTTCCCTCTTTCTCTCTCTGTGTGCATGTGTGTATGTGTGTACGTGTGTGTGTGCGCATGGTAGAGATTGAACCAGGGCCTTACATATCCTAAGCATGTTACAACAGCTCTACCACTAATCTACACCCTCAGCCCTTGCTTCTCCTCTTCACCTGTTCACCTTTTTCACTTTTTTAGTAAGGAAGCTTCCAAATATATAGAAAAATCAGAAAAGCACCTTTATACTCACCAGTGAGATTTTACAGTTCTTCACACTTCACTATATTTGCTTTATCATGCATATGTAGGTCAAAAATGATTTTCAAGCAAGTTGTAGACATTGTAACGCTTTGGAAATACTTCAGCATGCATCTCCTTGGACCATGGATGCTGTCCTACATGTTTTCAGTACCAGTGCCTTGGTGCTTTGTTAGAAATGCAGATACTCAGCTCCACCCAGACCGAACTGAATTAGAATCTCCATTTTAACAAATCTGCAAATGATTCACATGTGCATTAAAATTTAAGAAGCACTGTCCTATATAACTCAAAAATGCCTACAAAACCTAATAATAATTCTTTAATCCAGAGCTGCTCTTGTCTTTTAAAAGCACTGATGGGTAAATGTTCATTCAAATCAAATGCTTAATTAAGATCACTCACTAGCCGCTATAAAAATGCATTTATTGAATGGAGTTTTCTTTACCTGTTCTGTGTTTGTCTTTCCTTTCCCTGCCTTTTCCTGTCCTCCCTCTGCCAGGGGAGCTCATGGATGGCCGAAGGGGCCTGGTCCCTTCCAATTTTGTGGAGCGTGTGTCTGATGATGACCTCCTGACCTCCCTCCCTTTGGAGCTGGCTGATTTGTCCCACAGCTCAGGCCCTGAACTCAGTTTCCTGAGCAGAGGTGGGGGAGGCAGCAGTAGCGGGGGCCAGAGCAGCGGGGGACATAGCCAGCCCAGACCAGAAGAGAAGGAGGAGGATGCAAGGGACGAGCTCAGCCTGAGCCCCCCGCCGGAGGGCCTGGGCGCTCTTGCAGTGCCTTACCCTCGCCATCTGGTAGTCCTCAAACAGCTGGCCCACAGTGTGGTGCTGGCCTGGGAGCTGCCTCCTGAGCGAGTAGAACTCTGTGGCTTCCATATCTGTGTGAACGGGAAGCTGCATCAGGCCCTGGGGCCTGGGGTGCCCCCCAAGGCTGTGCTTGAGAACTTGGACCTGCGGGCTGGGCCCCTCCATGTTTCTGTCCAGGCCCTGACCAGCAAGGGCAGCTCCGACCCTCTGCGCTGTTGCTTGGCCGTGGGTGCTCGAGCTGGGGTAGTACCTAGCCAGCTGCGGGTCCATCGGTTGACAGCCACATCTGCTGAGATCACCTGGGTGCCCGGCAATAGCAACTTGGCCCATGCCATCTACCTCAATGGGGAAGAGTGCCCACCTGCCCGCCCCAGCACCTATTGGACCACCTTCTGCAACCTACGGCCTGGCACACTGTATCAGGCCCGGGTAGAAGCTCAGCTCCCACCTCAAGGAGCTTGGGAACCAGGCTGGGAGAGGCTGGAGCAGCGGTCTGCCACCCTACAGTTCACTACACTCCCTGCAGGTATGCAGGGGTGGGCACTGCTGTCTGGAACCCTCAGGAGGCCAGAGATTCTGAGTGGCAGGGAAGACTGGCCCTGCTGCTAGTGTCAGTGAAATGGCAGATTGGGCTGGTATCTCAGACAGGGAGTATCCTACATTTCTGGGTTTTATCCCTGAATTGCCCCAGGCCCACCTGATGCCCCCCTGGATGTGCAGATTGAGCTGGGACCCTCCCCTGGCATCTTGATCATCAGTTGGCTCCCAGTCACCATTGATGCTGCTGGTACCTCCAATGGTGTCCGGGTCACCGGCTATGCCATCTATGCTGATGGACAGAAGGTATGACCTGGAAAATTTACCTGCTTGTACCCTGGTGCCCCTATGGGTAACCTTCCTTGCTATACCTAGAGCGCTTGCCTCCCTGGCCTGGCAGTAATAGCCTGCCCCTGGCATTTGGGCCCTAGGTGGCAGGTTGGTTAAAAGCATAGGCTTTGTAGGAGCTGGGGATTTAGCTCAGCGGCATAAGCGCCTGCCTTGCAAGCAGGCGGTCGTGAGTTCGATCCCTGGTACCGATAAAAACTGAAAAAGACAAAAACAAACAAACAAACAAAAAAAAAACCACCATAGGCTTTGGAAGCACATGAGGGATTAAAAACTGCTTTAGTGCCATAGGCCAAGAGGACTGAATGAGATAAGGCACACAGAGCACTTAGCCTAGCAGGGTGCCTTCTGCCTTTGGCTCTCTCAGCCTCACCTTCCCCTCCTCTGCCCCTGCCTCCCTGCAGATCATGGAGGTGGCCTCACCCACAGCAGGCAGTGTGCTGGTGGAGCTGTCCCAGCTGCAGCTGCTGCAGGTGTCCCATGAAGTAACTGTGCGCACCATGTCACCCCATGGCGAGTCGGCTGACTCCATCCCTGCTCCTATTGCTCCAGCCCTGGCTTCCACCTGTTCAGCAGCCAGGGTCACCTGCCCCTCACCACGACCAAGCCCAGAGGTTAGAACACCCCTTGCTTCAGCATCCCCAGGGCCTGGGGACCCCAGTTCTCCCTTCTGGCGCACTGCTACCCATGGAACTCCGGAGCCTCCAGGAGGTCCCCCAGCAAGCCCCATCAAACAGATGCCAAAAGGAGCCCAGGAAGAGCCTGCAGCACCTTGCGCCCAGGTACCTGTCTGGTGGCCGGGTGAGCAGACGCGGGCTGGCAGAAGAGCCAGCTCTACCTCAGTGCTGTCTATTTCAGGAGGAGGCTGGGGCAGCCATGCTGCAAGCCTCAGAGGAGAGGAGGGCCAGTGAGCCACCCGTGGGTGAGGGAAGCTCTGGCCCTGTGGCTCCCTGCCAGATGATGCAGGAGGCTGAGTCAACTGCAGGAGAGGCCAGACCCACGGTCTGCCCCATCCAGGGAGCACTGACCCAGAGGGCGCCCAGTACTGAGGCCTGCCGTGGAGCCGACCCTGGGCTAAGAGCCAGGGCTGAGGTAGGGATTGGGGACACACTGTCACAGAATCGGGGCTTGCCTCCCTACACTTTGCCATCCCAAATATGGTTATCTTCTTCACTTGTCCTCTGCTCTGATTGGCTCTGATTCCTTTGTATTATACGTCTGTTTCTTATTTTTATTTTATTATTATTATTTTTGGGTACTGGGAATTGAATTCATGACCTCACTCTCGTCAGGCAGGTGCTGTGCCTGGGCTATATCCCCAGCTCGTGTGTCTGTTTTTTATTCCTTTTTCCTTTGCAGATTTCTCTCCCCACCGTGGCTCCTATCCCCGACCCTTGCATTCTGGGCATGGTTCTTTCTTCCCCTTCCAAGGACCCATGGTGGCTGATCCTGCCCACAGTCTCAAGGGTCCCTCATATCCCTTCTTGTCTTTTTTCCCTTGTCTCGCTATCTTCAGAGGGAAGACCCAGCAGAGCTTGGGGTTCGTCTGGTAAACCCTCTTGTGGATCATGGCCGTAACTCAGACCTGTCAGACATCCAAGAAGAGGAGGAGGAGGAAGAGGAAGAGAAAGAAGAGGAGGAGCTGGGTTCCAGGACTTGCTCCTTCCAGAAGCAGGTTGCTGGCAACAGCATCAGGGAGAGTGGGGCCAAGGTAATGGGGTGAGGAGGGGTTGGTGGGCCTCAGGTCTTGGGCTCCAAGAGTCTTCATCCCGTGTGTCAGCAGCTGCTTCATCATTGCCACTGAGTGCCAGTGACACTCACTGTAGGTGTGTGGCCCGGGTCCTGGCTCAGACAGCAGATATGAAAAGGCGCAGAGAGGGCCTCAGCCCTGCTGGGGAGATGGGAGGAGGAGGAGAGCTTCCCTGTACACCTTCCCTCCAGCCTATTGCATGTAGTGCCTTGTGCTGCCAGCCTCTGGGGAGGGGAGGGGATGGCCTCCCCACAATGACAGGGACAGCCTGCTTGCTGATGCTCCTACCTTGCAGGAGTTGGTGCCTGCTCCTCAGGTATATTCCCTTATTCTTCCTCTGGCTCTGCCTGGACATATGTGTGACTTTGGACTGCCGTGGCCCCTCTGATTCTTTTCCCTTGGAGGACACCAAGGGAGGGCTGTGGGCTTTCCCTGAGCCCCGTCCTCACTCGAGGGCAAGAATCACAGCTCTCCCCGGTTCCCCGTGGACATTTCTCTTCTCTGCTGCTCTCTTTTCCCCACCCTCAGCCCCAGCCCGACCCCTTTTGTGAGACTGACAGTGATGAGGAAATCTTGGAGCAGATCTTGGAGCTGCCCCTCCAGCAGTTCTGCAGCAAGAAGCTCTTTAGCATCCCGGAGGAGGAAGAAGAGGAGAATGAAGAAGACAATGAGGAGCAGAAGCCAGGGATGGGCTTTTCCCAAGACCCTAGTCCACTGGAACCAGTATTGCTGGGGTTGGGCTGTGACAGTGGTCAGCCTCCAGGACTTGGCCTGTGTTCCCTGTCTCCTGAGCCCTCCAGGGCCAGGGACCACCTGGAGGACATGGCTGGACTAGTCAGTGGAAGCAGCCGGAGGAGAGGATGTGGCTCCCCTGAGAAGCTCCCAAACCGCAGGCGGCCTCCAGATCCCCGAGAACACTGCAGTCGGCTTCTCAGCAATGGCGGCCCCCAGGCCTCCTCACGGCCAGCCCCCTCATGGGACAGGAGCAGCCTTCCTGTGATTGAGGGCACCAGGGGTGGAATGGAGGCTAGTGGAAAAGGGCGACCAGGCACTTCCCGGAGATGCCCCCGTGGCCGAGCCCTGGAGTCTGGCCTGGCCAGCTGCCTGTCCCCCAAGGGCTCAGAAATCAGCATTGAATATGACTCTGAGGATGAGGAGGAGGTGGGCAGCGGGGGCATCGGCATCACCAGCTCCTGCTACCCTGCAGATGGGGAGCCCTGGGGCATGGCACCTATAGGAAGACCGAGGGGGCCTCTGAAGGTCAACTCAGGCCCCAGCCTCCCAGCCTGGGAGAAAGGGGAGCCAGAGCGGAGAGGCCGCAGCGCGACCAGCAGAGCCAAGGAGCCACCCTCCTGGGTCTGTGCCCATTCCCGCCCTGGGCAGCCCCCTGCCTGCTGCCGCCTGGTGGCCCTGCTTGCTGCCCACCAGCCACTCCCATTCCATGCTGCAGCCTCCATCAGCAGAGGTGGGGCTGGGCCTCCTGGCCCCCTCACCCGCCTCCTCCCACCCACATTCCACCGCTTTGCTGCTTCTGCTGATTGAAACTGGGATGCACACTGTTCTGTCACCACTAGTTGCCAGTTGCTACCTTGAGGCAGGGTGGCCCTTCCCTCTGTGTAGCTAGTTATGTCTTCAGGACACTGACTGTGATGCCATGTCCAAGAGTCACCAGCCCTCACACCGAGGAGGAACGTCTTCTCACAAGCTGTTTGGCCACCTTAGTTCCCTCTACTGCACTCATCTATGGGGGCAGGCTGGGCTGGGGCCTTCCCTCCTGTCCCTCCCTCTGTGGGGCATTTGCTGTCTCCTCAAGGCCACCAAAGACACAGGAGAGGAATGCTATGTCCCTATTCTGCTGGGCTGCTGACACTGCTGCTGCTGCTGGCGGGGCAGAGTGGGAAATGTGGGTCCACCAGAAGGGTGGCATGGCATGTCACTTCTGCCATCTGTTGCCTTTTCTTTGCAGGCAGCGGAGATTGGGGAGGCCAGAGGGCAGAACGGCTCTGGGCGGAAGGGCCACCAGAGGAGAGGGGCCCGGATGCCCAGGCTGAGCACCACTGAGCTGGGTGAGCACCTTATGGAGCCAGAGTTGGCCTGGGGGGGCCCTTCCTAAGCCCTCACTGAGCCTCTGCGCTGTTCTCTCCATGCTCCCCAGCCCCTCCAAGGAGCCACTCAGAAACGCTGGCGCACCAGAACATACCTGTTAGGGTCTTTGTGGCTCTGTTTGACTACGACCCTGTGTCAATGTCGCCCAACCCTGATGCTGGAGAAGAGGAGCTCCCTTTCCGGGAGGGCCAGATTTTGAAGGTGAGTGACAGTGGCGGGCTCTCTGCCCAGAACTCCAGAATCGAGTCATTGTCAGGTCTAGTCACTGTGGAATGGCTGTGCTCCCTCCTCCTTCTCCTTTTCCTCTTCGGCTGGAGGCATCACGGTGGGGCTGGAGAACATAACTTCTTGAGTCAAATGATGGGATTGGATCCTGTCTCTGGCTCTTCGAGCTGTGTTATTTTGCATAATTACTTACCCTCTCTAAGCCTCAGTTTTCTCATTGGTAAATGGGGGTAATACTGATTTTCTGACTCACAGGGCTGTTTGTGGGGTCAATGATCCCATGTACAGACATCTCCCTTACTCACCCGCTGCAGCCAGTGCAGACTGCCTGTTTGCTGTTAACTTGGCTACTTTCACTGTCCCCCCAAAGATTGATCGAAAGCTTTTTGCTGTGTCTCTGAGGTTTTGGGGGTCCAATCTGGGGTTCAGGGGCAAGGGAGAGCTGTGTAGACAGCAGATGGTGACACAGAAAGAGCTGTTTTCTTATTTCCCTCTGACTCTGATTCTAGCTGTTTCCCCTCCTCTGTCCCATGGCCTGCAGAGGGCAGACCAACCTTCTGCAGTGCCAAGTAGGGTGATGCCAAGGCTCAGGGTCTGGGGGTGCAGGAAGCAAGCCCAACTGGCCTCCTGAGACAACTGGTCTTTGCTTCTAGGTGTTTGGGGACAAAGATGCTGATGGCTTCTATCGGGGGGAAAGTGGCGGCCAGACAGGCTACATCCCATGCAACATGGTGGCTGAGGTGGCTGTGAGCAGTCCCACAGGGAGACAGCAGCTGTTCCAGTGGGGTTACTTGTCTCCAGAGGTTGTCACTGAGGGCACAGGTAGGACCCGCTGTCCTCACCACCTGGGTTCCTCCCCAACCCCATCCTGAGAGATTGGTGTATCTAGGGTGACCAGTGCCTCATTTACACAGAGCCGTTGGAACCAAGGCCAGGCAGCCACCCCCTGGGTGCCGAGTCTGGTGCCAAGGAGAAGCCGCTTTGGGAGAACCCAGTGCTGCTAGCCATGCACTTTGGGCTCGGAGGTTGGAAGGTTGGGAGGGACTCTTATTCAGCCCTGTAGAAAATGAGCTCAGGAACCCTGTGCCACCCTAGAGGAGGCTCCAGAGTCGGTCCTATTTCCCTGTCTTGCCTCAGTTTCTCTCACACCTACTTGCCTTCCTGGACAGGGAACAGTCCCTTTGTGTACTCCACAGCCCATACAACTGCGCCTCCCCCCAAGCCCCGCCGCTCCAAGAAAGGTGAGCAGACCCCATCTCCTGAGGGTGACTGTGATGGAAGGTGTGTGCGGGTGGGGGTTAGGGTGGCACTGTTTGGCTCTCTGTGGGATTTTGAGCAGATAAAAGGAATCAGAGGAAAACTTTGCCCACATCTACCTGCTCCAGTGTGGGGCTTTATGGAGGATGGTTTGTCAAGATTTCTGTTCCCCAAACTATCAGACTGTAAATGCTGTGCAGCCTTGCACATATCACTTACACTTTCTGGGCCTTAGTCCATTCCGAAAGCAAAGCGTTATGCTGATGGGCCTCTGGGCACCCTTTCCCTTCCACATCCCTCCTGAGAGGGTGGGCAGTCCCGCCTACCCTTATTACCCCCAGACAGGATGAAGCAGGAAGGGCAGGATGGGACTCAGAGGCATCTTTTCCCTACAGCAGAACTGGAAGACCCTGCTCAGCCCTGCCCAGGTGAGGAGTTAACCTGAGGCAGGGATGTTTGGGGAAAGAAGGTGGGTGAGGTTACCTCTGGTCTTGTCCCAGGGGATATAGCTAGTCAGATAGTGGTGAATAGGTAGTTGTCCTGCCTCCATTACAGGTTGCAGGGAATGAGGGTAGTCTAGAGAGAGTCCTGATTCTTCTCTCCTCTCTGTGCAGGTCCCCCAGAGCCCATTGCCTCTGCTGCCTTGAAAGCTCCCCACCCCATGGTAGCTGCTTTTGACTACAACCCCCGGGAAAACTCCCCCAATATGGATGTGGAGGTGAAGCCCCTAGGATGGTGCCTAGCAATGGGTGTGGTAGTGGGGCCTCCCTGAGTCTGACATCTACCTCTTGCTGTCTCTACAGGCAGAGCTGCCCTTCAGGGCAGGGGACGTCATTACTGTGTTTGGGAGCATGGACGATGATGGTTTCTACTATGTGAGGACATTGTCGGGAAGGGTGCCTTGTACCCCTGCTTACCATCTGGGCATGGGATGGGCAACCGTCCCCACCAAAGCATCACTTCCCATCACAGCGATGTTGGTCCTAGGATGTTCTCCAAGGGGCCTCAGGTCCAGGGGGCAGGGCTGGGACCTCTGTCCCAGTCTCTGTCTCATCAGCATCTCCTCCCCAGGGGGAACTGAATGGACAAAGGGGCCTGGTTCCATCCAACTTTCTGGAGGGCCCCAGGCCTGAAGTAGGCAGCTCGGACAGGGAACCCACAATGCCCCAGGCAGAGAGTCAAGTGAGTGAGGAGCTGAGCTCTCAACTTGGTGTTTGTCTTTCCCGTGCTAGCGAGGTAGGTCCAGGGCTGTGGTAGGAGGGATGCAGCTGCGCTGAGTTACTCTAGAGCAGGGGCCTGGATAGGATTCTCTCTGCCAAGGGGAGATGGCTATGACTTTGATCCCAGATCCTAACCATCAACACCCCCGGCCCGTGCAGGGGAGGGGGACCTTTTCACTCAACCTCTAGGCAGTCACACCCTGGTGCAGGTACTCCCACCCTACTGGGCCTCTCTGTCCCCAGATGCCTGATGAGGCCCATAGCTCAGCAAGGCTGGCTTCCTGATTCTGGTTCTTACAGCCTGCTCGCCTTGGTTCGGGTGGGGGACAGTTAAATCTCCAGCTTCAGGGGGCAGGGCAAGGATGAGGAGGCCACGCCCCCAGCATAAGGCTCAGGGATTCCCTGCACAGAGCTCCAAACTCAAAGGCTGTGCCAAGCAGGAGCCATCTGGTGACTGGGCAGAGAGCTCACGGGTCTGTCGATAACTCATCTCCTCTCTTTGTTCCCTGCTCTCAGAGAACGAGGAGGAGAAGAGTCCAGTGCTAGATGGAGATAGATATATGTAGAGAGAGCAACATGTAAGTGGGAGGATTGGCCTCTATGTCTCATGCATCCCTACCCCTCACTTCACTGTACTCAGACAGCACCCCTTTGTGTCAAATCAGCTGGCTTGGCTTTCCCATCCCCCCCCTTCTAGGGAGTGGGGAGGAAGCTCTTGTCATGAGCCAGATTTGAGTGTGAGATTGTCCTCCCCCATTCTCCCTGTCCCTTTGTCTGCCTTTACCCTGGGCAGTGCCAGCTGTCACAGGGCACATGTCTTAGCATATGACACCCCATGTTAGCTGGCCCCTGTCTCCTCATAACTCATGTGGCTTATGGACTGTTATGTGATACCATATATTATGACTCACAGTGGTATTATGATACTGCATGGCTATGGTATTATAATATTATGATTATTATGGGTGACAGAAAGAGAACCCTGTAATGTCACCAATAATAATAACCTCCCACCCTTGTTCTCTGCATTACTACCCGTTAGGGAGGCCGCATACATGCTTTTACTGCCAACTCTCAAGTTTCTCTGGTTGAGGAATGAAAAGGAGGACCTTGTAGAGTTGAAATCCATACACATCCCCAAACCATTCTTCTCTGGGGCTCCCGGGTGGTCAGAGCCTTGGCAATCAGTGCTCTAATCTTTGGGTCTAGGAGGGGCTACTGCTTCACTCAGGGCCTTGCAGCAGGTAGAGGGGTGCTTGGCTGTGTGCCCAGGTCCCTCGCCTCTGGTCTGGTCAGGCTCTGTGGTTGGTTCTACCTGGGAATTTGAGGGAGGCAGGAGGAAAGAGGGGAGGCTGGACGGACTGGCAAGAGCTGACAGGGCTGTGCCAGGTCCAGGAGGCCCAGGGATTACATACACATGGGAATGCTTTTCTGGTGGTTCCCTGGTCAGTCAGCAGCCTCCCCTTATGCCACCACTTCCGGGGTGTACTTCCTGGGTGGGCCTGAGGCAGAGGGAGCAGCTGAGAGTTGCAAATAGAACTGGGAGGAGATTTGACAAGTGAGATGCTAAAGTGGAGGCTAATAATGCCTCCACCAGGATGTGCCCTCAGGGCCTGGCCTCCCTGTGTCCTCTCAGGAGGTTTCCAACAGAGATTCCAGATCTCTGTCCTTATGCCATGGCCATGGCTTCACTTCCAGAAGGCCTTTGAGAGACTGCCTCTGCCTGTGAGGTGCAGTCCAGTCGGCACTGCCGTCCCAAAGGGATGGCAGCTTGTAAGTGGTTCCTGTCCTTGCTGTCCCTTCCTTGGGTGGAGGATGATATGTGGGAAGTTGAGGGTACCTATCCCAAGAGTCAGGTTCCCAGCCTGGGTCGCAGAGTGAGATGTAGGGAAGGGGAGAGGCCTGCCCTGCACCGCAAGGAAGCAGATCTAAGAGGCCGTGTCCTGTCTCCATTCACCTGTGTGTTCTGTGTGTCCAGGCCAGTGGTGGGTGGTGACCCCTGACCCTAAGCTCAGGGCCCTAAAGAGAAAAGGAGTTTGGGTGGGGAGGGAACAGGCCCTGATCTTACTTTTCTCTCTCCCATTCCAGGGCTGGGTCGGCACAGGAGGACCCTCAGTGCCCCCAGGCTGGCACTGCATCTCCAGCCCTGGAAGCCTCCCCAGGACCGAACTGGGTGAGCCACAGGGCACAGCTAAGAAGCTGTGGGGTCTTCTGTCCAAAGGGAAGCAGCTCCTCAGGAAACTGGCCTCTGGGAAGGAGTGAAGCTGTGGCCTATCCCGCAGGGAGAAGTGTGGTCTCTGGAGATGCCCAGGGCACCACTGTGGCTGGACAGAGGGGCCCTCAAGGGCCCAGAACCCCTGTTCTCTGAGTTAACACTGTGGCACTTGGATGAGAATCAGAGAATTGGTGAAAGTGAGAGGCTAGGTGGAAGGGCGCATCCTCTAGCTGGGCCCCTTCCCCTTGTAGGAGGGAGACTGAGCCCCACAGTGAGTAACCAATGTTGCTGAGCAGCCAGTGAGACCAGGACTGGGCTCAGGACTCTTGACTCTCAGTCTACCTGCCTGTCTAATGCTAGTTTCCCACCAGGCTGGGCAGGTCCCTTCTTTGGTCCTCTCTCCCTATACCCAGGAGGAGACCGAAGGGACAAGGGGCTGTTTCAACCCCCAGCACGTCTTCCCTCCCCTGAAGGGAAGTTTGCCCTGGAGTGTCCCCAGGAGCAGTGGGCACAGTTGTGTATATCATTGGAGTGTCCCCAGGGAGTGTCCCCAGGGGCAATGGGTGGAGCCGTGTATATCACTGGAGAGTCCCCAGGGGCAGTGGGCAGAGCCGTGTACATCACTGGAGTATCCCCAGGGGCAGTGGGCGGAGCCGTGTATATCACTGGAGTGTCCCCAGGGGCAGTGGGCGGAGCCATGTATATCACTGGAGTGTCCCCAGGGGCAGTGGGCGGAGCCATGTATATCACTGGAGTGTCCCCAGGGGCAGTGGGCGGAGCCGTGTATATATGTACATACTCAGTGCCTCACTCCAGCCCCTCCATCTCGCCTCCACTGCACAGCACAGGCCGGTGGTGGGAGGAAGGCCATGCCAAAGCGGGCCTGACCCACCCCACCGTGCTCCACCCCTCCCTGCCCTGCCACCTGGCCCTGGGGTCATCCCCCCTGCTAGAAACCCAGGGGACCAGGGGGCAGAAAGCAGGAGTTGAGTTTGCCTTATTTTGCTCATTGGATTCAACTTCTCTTTTGCATTATTTTCTTCTGGCCCCCGTGGGAGTCCAGGGGCTGAGTTTAAGGACAGATTACACAGCTATTTTCATACATTCCCCTTTCAGAGTGGGCAGGGGCTGCTCCACCCTCATTTGAGCCATCCACCCCTCACCCTGGCTCTGCATGTTCCCTATGCTGCGGTGGGAGGCTGTTCCACTGAACTCCCACCTCCACCTTGGTCTCCGGGAGTGTGGAATAGTGGAGGCATTTGTTTAAAAAGACATTTTATTATAATAAAGTCTATTTTCACAAAAATCTATTCTGGACTCTACTTGGGCAAAAGACTCTTGGTGGGGTGAGGGTGGGCGGTTGTGCTGGGATTTGGATGCACAGTTTTGGAATCCAGAAATTACACCCACAGTGTGAGGGGCAAAAACTAGTTAACACCAAACAGGTCTGCAGTTCTGTGTGTTTGTTTGTTTGTTTGTTTGAGACAGGGCCTGACTGTGTAGTTCAGTCTGAGCTTGAACTTTCTGTGTAACCCAGGCTGGCCTCTTGAGGCAGAAGCAATCCTCCTGCCTCAGGCTTCTGAGTGCTGGAATTACAGGCCTGCCTGCATCACCGCACTTGGACTGAGTTCCATTTCTTAAGAAGAAGAGCAGGTGGCTTTCAGAGCTGCTGGACCATTTTACGTAGAGTCAGGGCAGGCTGAAGAGGGGAGAGACCTGGGAATGGGGACAGAGGACTTAGGAAGAGAAGAGGCATTAGTTTTAAATTGATGAACTAAACACATACTGCCTTGTTTCTTCCCTGCCAAATCCATAGAAATAATAAAACTGAGACAAACAGAACAAATGAGCAAATACCATACAAAGTTCCATTCAAAAGCAAGAAAGGAAACTCTGTAGACTAGAAACAGCAGAATTCTGGGACAGAAAGACAGAAAGAAAATGAAGATCATGCTCACAACCCCTGACAAACTGCACGTGGGAAAGATCTGCATGGTGCTCCATTTCCTATGGCAACAGGGCAAGGGAGTCCTGGGACAATGACAGGCTGATTAGTTGGTATCCCAGTGGAGAGTTGTTGCCTATTCTCCTCTCTCAGTGGGCCTGAGGCCAAAGGGTTAGATGAGAACAGTTTGGACAAGAACAGTGGAGGTGACAGTTGGGTTAGTGACCCGGCCATTCGTTAGGTGGCAGGTGACATTTGGCAGCAACAAGAAGCATGATATGAAAGAAGACAGATTCCAGGATGTCACAGGACTGTGCGAGGAACACAGTTGTGTTCCTCTAGATGAGCATGTTATGCCCTCCTGCCTATCTCACTTGACTCCTCCAAGAAAAGGCAGCAGTTCCTACCTAGCCGTCAGGCAGGGACTCTCTAATACAAGGTGAGGACAAAATTTAGGCCCAACAAACTTGGGAACATTAAGAAACAGACCGGTTGGACTAGGGTATAACTCAGTGGTACTAAAGCAGAATTTAGAGGACAATCATTTTTTTCCACCCAGCCTTGAGCAGTTCCTCCTTGAATTCCTCCTCCCTTTAACTGCTGACCCCTCTGATCCTGATAAAGCTTGACAACTGTGTTCCTCTGAACAGTCCTGTGGCATCCTGGAACCTGTCTTCTTTCAAGGCTAAGTTGTAAAACTGTCACTGAGTAAATAATTGCCTTTGTTTCACTTCCGTAACTTTGCTTATACCCCCTTTCAGTTTAGAGCCAATTCCCTTCAACTACATGTATAAAAATTGGAGCCCTCCCTTTCGACATGAGTCTCCTGAATTGGTGTACACCTAAAATAAGTGGATCTTCCTGTTTCTTCCAGGATCTCTAGATTTTTTTTTTTTTTTTGTACCTGGACGTGAACTCAGGACCATGTGCTTGCCAAGCAGGCACTGTGCTGCTGAGCTATATCCCCAGCCCTCTCTGGACTCACAGTACAGAACTTGCCTAGCAGGGTAAGGCCTCGGGTACTAACCCTAGCACTAAAATAAACAAATGAAAATATATATATATATATATACACACTATTCACTCTTGTTTGCCAAATCTGGGGTGCTTCTGGTCATTATCTCTTCCAGTATTTCCCCACATCTCATTTTCTCCCTCTTTCTGTGACTTGACACAAATGGGGTAGAGAGCTTTCCTGATTCCCCTTTTCCTCTCTTTGGTACCCTAAGATTCTTGGCTTTCTAGGCTTCATTTACCTTTTTCTGGGATGCCCTTCTTGTGATTATGCCTGCAGCTGGGCCCAGGCAGTGGGAAGACAGAAAAAGAAGGGGAAAGCCCCACTTTCTGGGGAGCACAGAGCTTCCTCCTGGAGAGGAAGTTTCCCCTCAGCCAACTTTGCTGTCATGGCTATAGAACTGCTTGTGGCTGGGATGCAAGATAATGCAGAAAAGACAGAAAGAAAAGAAAAAGGGGAAAATGAGGGGTTCTGTATTTCCTAGACACCATGAAATCTCTTTCTTGCCCCTCAAGTCAGAACTAGGTGCTTTTCTTTGGACTTCTGCTGTTCCTACCAGGGTCCACCTTGGGTCTCAGGTTCACCTCTGCATCAGGTTCAGGGTTGGGGACACAAGAAAAAAACTCATAAGGTCATCACTCCTTGAGTGATATGTGAAGTATATTCCTCTTCCTTAGCCTGCCAGCTCTGAATTCCTTTCAGAATCCTCATGTGGTTGCTCTGTGCCCGCGAGCAGGGTTGTAGCTACAGTCACTGAGCGGAGGGCTAGTGTTGTCACTCCGTCTTGCATGGAACTGGACCTTCTCTCTCTCAGGATCACAATTTCAGTTGCACTGACTCTGTGCATCATTAGGGAATAACTGATATTTTCACAATTTTGAGTCTTCTGCAAGCTGGGCTTAGTGGTACATGCCTGTCATCCCAGCACTGGGGAGGATAAGGCAGGAGGATCACTGCAGCCTGGGTTACACGGTGAATTAAAGGCCAATCTGAGCTGCATAGTGAGACCCCATCTCAGAAACAAAAACTGAGTCTTCTGACTTGTGAACAAAGTATACAGATTCCTTTTGTTTATTTAGAACTTTGATTTCTCTTAGCAACGTGTTATGGTTTTCAATGCAGGCATTATACATCTCGTGATTTTTTTCCCTAAGTACTTCCTATTTTAGATGCTGTTCTGTGATACTATTTTAAATTTCAATTTTGGTTTATTGAGAGTACATAGAAATAACTGATTTTTAAATTTTGGCTTGTAGAGCGTGACCTTGCTAAACTCACTTGGTAATTCTGGTGGTTGTTTTGTACATTCCTTAGAATTTTCTACATAAGTGATGACTGTATGTAATCGAAGACAATTTTACTTCTTCCTGTCAAATTCTTATCCTTGTAATTTCTTTTTCTTGCCCGATTGCACTGAACAAAACCTCTAGTTCAATGCTGAACAGAAATGGCAGGGACAGACCTCTGCTTGGTTTTGATCTTAGACAGAAGGCATTCACCATTAAGTAAGATTATAGGCATAGCTATTCTTCATCAGGTTTGAGAAAGTCACTTCTATTAGTTTGAAGTGTTTTTTTGAAGTCAGTAATGAACACTGAATTTTGGCAAATGAGCTATGTGCATCTAATGAGAAATCATATCATTCTTCTTTCTGACTTATGACAAATTACACTGATTGACTTTTAATGTTGATCCTTACTTTCTTCGAATAAACTCCATTTGGTCATGATGTGGGAGAGGTAGAAAGCCAGTTCCTTCTTGTTGAGTTTTTGGTAGATATAAAACATATAAGATGAGGGGGTATAGGGATGATGAGGGAATTCATTCGCTCTGTCTCTTCCCTGCACTCAGCTGGGGAACCTTATCCAATAGGGAATCTCTCGTACTTACTTCCATCCAACTTCCCCTCAGTCATAGGCCTCTAGACCTCAGGGCAAAGCTGCTTCCACTCCCTAACCTGGCCAGGGCTCAGCACCCTGTGCAACACCCCCTCTCCCAAATTGTCACCGGCCTGGCGGGGCAGTTTTCCTGTCTCATAGTTGCTCATAGGACAGGTGCTGATGTGAGGAGTGCAGTACGATGTGGAGGAGGGCACCCCAGGGGGTTCCTCCTGACCAGCTGTGTGCCCTCCTCAGAAGCCAGGCTCCTGTCTCCCTAGGGCTTTCCACAGCCCTTATTATTATTATTATTTTTTTTTTGTTCTTTGACATTTCATTCTCATGTCTGGGGCATCTCCATGGGCAGGTTTGTCTGATGGTGCCTGCAGCCCAGGCTCATCTGGCTTTGCTTGAAACAGTGGTGGGCATCTGCATTTCCAGAATTGGAAGTTGATGGGTAACAGAGAACGTGGCAGTAATACTATGTAGATAAAAATAATAAAATCGTATCTCTCCAGAACTGAATTGAATGCAATTTGAACTTGGATTTTCTACTTTAACAAAATATTAGTTATATTATCCAAGCTTCCCATAGGTGATGTGATCATTCCCAAATATCATAGATATCAGTGTCACCCTTTTGGTCTTTATTCATGTTTGGCTTCATATCAAGAAACCAATGTAAAAAAAAAAAAGCAAAAGCAAAAGACATCAATGTAAAATTAATCCCAAACCACCAATTGGGCAAAAAAAATCAAGTTTGTTACTTTGGGGGGTTGAGGTGGAGGTAGAGAGTATGTTATTTCAGGATAAAAATTATTATTTTTCTAGTAAAAAATTCAAACAGAGGGTACTAGATAAAAAATTAAGACATTTCAGTTCATTTTCCAAAAGTAAACACTTTTATGCCTTTGTGCCTTTGCCTAGAGTCTTCTCCATATATTTAAATACTTGGTATACATACACGCATGCATTCATATTTTGTAGGATTGCAATATGCTGTGTAGAATTGCAACTAGCTCTTTTCTTTTGGCAATATTTCTTTCTATTTTACTAAAATATATCTCCTTCATTATTTTTAAAGGTGACATAAAGGTATATCCATTATGTGAATATACTACAATATAGCAAGACAGTTTTGGTAGGCTTGACTTGTTTCTAGACTTCTGCTGGTAGAAATGAGACTGAAACAAACACGTTCACGTGGGTGTCTTTCCTAAGACTTCATCTGAAAGATAAATTCCTACCTAGAAGTAGAATTGCTGAGCCAGAGCATTTGGAGTGTAACCGACACTGTCATATTGCCCATGGCATTGGACTAAACTACACTTATTTTTCACATCTGTCTGACACTGGATTCATACATCTTTTATCTTTGAATTCATCTATTTGATACATAATGTTTATTTATTTATGCATTTACTTGCTTTGCCAGGTGTTGAGTTCAGGGCTTTAGGCTTGCTAAGCAA